AAACAAAGTCAAATGTGAATTATATTTCTATAGACACATAAAGTCGATGGCACTTATAACACGTGAATTGAAATCGTGGAAATTGTCAATATTCTTATTATTATGATTTTTTCTATCGAAGAATTAATAGTTTAATATTTATTTCTCTTCGGCAACACCAATTGTTCTTTTTTTCTAAACGTGTCAAATATATGTATATGTGAAATTGAAATTGTTATTATAGAAAAGATAAATTAACGCTAACACTTTGAAAAGGAACAGCGAGATACTTGGAACGATGACGCGGTGCACATTGCCGGCCATCGAGTGATTCCACTACGTGCTGTGTCGTGCCCCCTCCACTCAACTATACAACGTGCAATATTACCCCCACCATAGACATATTCACGTGCGGTTATCCCCACCTTTCGAACAGTGCCCCCACCTCTCAGAACAATGAGGAACGATGGACATTACCGAGTTACACAGTACGTAAATCTCAAATTCTTATGTTCCACAATTCCCACACTCAAAGATAAATAATGAATATAAATAATACTTATCTTTTTGAATATTTAATTTATATTTCACTAAAATTTAATGTTTTATTTGTTAAATGAAAAATAAATCAAATATATAAGTATTTAGAAGATTATAGTATTAATAGTTTTTTAATGCAATAGAGTTATTTCTAATAGAATTAATCACATTAAATATTGATTTCTGATTTAAAGGATACGTTATCTAATATTTGATAATATTTATAAATATTTCAAATATTATTCAATGTATTCAAGTAATTCAATCAATTCAAATTAATTATATTTATAGAATCACTAAATAAATGATTATTATATATTATATATATATATTATAAATGAAATAAATAAATTTTAGGATATTAGATAACTATCTAAATGTTGAAATTTTGATTTTTTTTAAATGTTAATATGAATGATTTATGAATGAATTATGGAATAGGTTGATAGTTTACTCAATACATTTTTTTAATTCATTAAGAATAAGTATACTTATTCTTATTATAAGTAAACTTAAAAACAATATTTTAATTAATCGTTGATATATCGTTGAATTTTTGCTAAATTTATAGACCTAATCAATAAATATTACAATTGCAATATAAAAAAAAATCATCAAATAATAAAAGATCGTCAACGATAATATTTTTTAATTTAAATAGCATATCGGTTTTATCATTTTTCTTTACATAGATAACTTACTTACATAGTTGCTGTATATGTAGAACATATATATCCTTCCTTGAGACTATGATGTCGATATAAAAAGTGTCCCCTACCATGCCTACCATCTTCACCATCCTGGTAAACGAATAGTCGTAAGAGAGACGGAAAGAAGACTCATTGTAAAAAGCTATCTTTCCGCCCCTCGTCCTATGCATCCCCTAGAAGGAACTTCAATCATCTCATCCTATTGGTTCACGAACACTCAACATTTTTGCAAATTATATTTTGCGAATTCTTAAATTAATATATATATATATATATATATATATATATATATATATTATATATA